GAGGTTGGATGTGGAGCACTCATGGAAGCAATTCTACTGCTGATAGGTACAAAGACTTTGATCTGCTTCATTTCTGACCTGGGTCAGTTCTCCTCTCCTTTGGTAGCCTAGCTGTCTACCCTGCCCCACTTTACTAGGGGGTCACAATATTGGTGCCAGACTGAATGCAGACACCTACGCAGTTTTAGCTACTCAACCCAGAACTCCCAAACTCAAGAGATCCACCAGCCACAGCCTCCCCAGCAACAGAGCCTAAAAACATTGGCTACCACGTCTATGGACTGGGATATTCTTGCCAACAATGCAAATCAAAGTTCATCGACCTCTACCCACCCTATGTAGCTCTTGGCCATGTCTTCCCTTATGTTCACCACACGCATTCTACTCAATGTGCTGGACACCTTGACATTGCAAGGATACCAATGGAACACATGGGCTATTGGTTGTTCTTTATTCTCACTGTGTGACTTGTCCATCTTTTTTTATACATATATAGGTCATAGCTCTAGATTTGGAAGGGGCATCAAATCCAAACCATTTCATAGATGAGGAAATTGTAGCCTGGAGGAAATTAGGTAATCCCTCATTTCTTCTGCAAGAACCCTTCTAAGGTCACACAGATGCTCATATATTTCTTTGATATTTTTTTTTTCCTTCATTTTTAGGCAATTGGGGTTAAGTGACTTGCCCAGGGTCACACAACTAGTAAGTGACAAGTGTTTGGTCTGAGGCCAGATCTGAATTCAGGTCCTCCTGACTTCAGGGCCAGTGCTCTATCCACTGCGCCACCTAGCTGCCCTCTTTGATACTCTTGATGTCGCTTCCCTTGTGTGGCAATCTGCTCCCACCTATCACGTATTTCTTCATTGCCCTTGGGCTGATCCTCGACTTTTGTTCTTCAGAAACTATGTTATTTCAGGACTCATAGCCATACATCCCCATCAGAAGAATATTGCATTTTAAAAATGGACTCTGTTTCAGGAAAAAGCTTGAGGTCATGGACTTTTCCATTTCCCAGAAGTAACCCAGCTTGTTCTCTTTCTACTCAATTCTTGGCCTGGTTCATCGACAATTTTCAATGTCTATCCAAGTATATGTGCATATATACATGAAACAATAGAATCCTAACTGATCATTCCATCTTCATTCTTTTGTCTCCAAATATCCTTCAATTATTGCCTTACTATTGCCTTAACTTACTTATGAACTAATCTAGTCACTACTCAAAAATCTTTGGTGGCTCTCTTATTGCTATTTAAGTATCACAGCAAAAGTGAATCCCAAAAAGTCTACTTTCTCTAAGCACAGGCTGTTGTGTAGAACTATAGCACTAAATCCAATACAGCATATTGGTTTATAGACTTGTAATTGTAGTCCAATTCCAAAAAGCCTCAAAGAATGTAAGAAAGTACATATATGATAAAAAAAAAAACCCCAACTCATTTAGCTCTTAATTTAGACTGAGGAAAGAGAGACTAGACTGAATAAATGAAAGGCTTGTTATTTTTAAAAAATCATTTTATTTCTTTCAAATACATAAAGTGGCTTCAGTGTTGACAGAGGCACAAATGGCCCTACTTTGATGGATAAGAACGATCTATAACTAGTCAACTTTAACATATGCTTCAAAAATCCTTGGAGGCATCAAATTCATTTAGTTTGTTAAATATAGCTCCTGCAATTTTATTTACATCATTCGCTTCACAAATTTTCTAATCTTATAAAGAGAAAAGGTAAACTAGTCCAGTCCATTTTTGAATTATCACATTCTGAATTAGCGGAATCTGACTAATGAAGTTCTGCTGGGCCAGAATTTTAAGCCAATTCTCCATCTTCACCACAATCCAGAGAGAAGTGATAATAGCTCATGTATCTTAGCACTTCAAAGGTTTACAAAGTGCCTCAAACATTAATTTCATTTCATCTCTACAACCCGAAGTAGGTATCACATATTACCACCCTAATTTCTGAGATGAGGAAACTACAGTGCAAAAAAGTTAAGTGACTTGTCTAGAGTCACACAGCTATTAAGCATCTGAGGCAGGATTGAAACCCACATCACCTAACTTTAGATCTAGCACCCCCCCATCAAGGCCCACAGCTCCACACCCACTTCTTTACCCTCGGGCCTCAAAAGCCACTTTTGCATTGCAAAAATTTTGACAGTGGAAAATATGTCTACTACTAGGTTCCATTAGGATTTCCATCTAATTTCTCAGCTTGAGCTCCCTTTCTCCTGCCATTTCTTGTTTTGGAAATAGCCTTGGGGTTGTGTTAAATCTTTTGAGCAAAGAGGTTGCCTGTGCCAGAGCAAGGTCTAACTTGCTTCTGGATTCTGAGTTTATAGCTGTATTTCCTTCACAATGAACAAATGTGAACTGCTCTTATTATCCAGGGGTCTTGTTAGGGCCAATTCTTCCCAGCTGGTCAAGGGAACAGATTTAAGGTGGATGGCAGCTTTGTATCCCAATCCTGCAAGTTCAGTTCAGTTCCTTAGAGATCAACTGATCCTCCCTGGACATGTTTTCACTTAAAATTTTGATTCTTGATTTTTCTTTTTTGATCATTCATTATAGGCAAACTCTAAAAGAAAATGGAATATCTGTACCTTTGAAATGTATCCTTCTGGGCTATTTTAATTTCTGCCTACTTTTTTTTATCTTATGCAGGAACCTTTAAGCATCCTTAAGATTACATGAGAAAGGCCTAAATCAGACCCTGTCCTCGATACCATTCACTTCACCTCCAGCCCACAAATGATTTATGGCCATAACGTGCAGCACAGAGTATCAGACTTGGAGTCAGAGAACCTGGGTTTGAATATTCATTCTGAATGTTAGTTCAGCCACTAATACTTGTGTGGCCTTGGACAAATCACCTAAACTCTCTGGGCCTTAGTTGCTCATCTAGAAAATGAAGGGATGGATGACCTCTGAGACTCCTAGTTCTAAATTTATAATCCTACAATTGAGCTAATCTAACAAGACTACCAGGTGGTATTAACAGCGCAGAGGTTCATACATGTACAATTAACCTCAAACCTTTTCACCTAGGTGACTGCCCCTTCCCTGTTCTATATACATCCCTTAGGTCAAGATGCACAATGCAATACATTTGTACTGTTTCTTTTCCCTCTCAAGGCTGCCTTTCATGTTTACCCTAATCAATTTTCATTTGTATCAAAGTGGTTGGGGGTGGGAGGGGAGGCGAGAGAATATAGAGACAACAGTATTGCTTGCCCTGCTCACATCATCAATACAATCCTGCCCATAACCAATCTGACTACCCTTCCAAACACTGCTAACTTCAGGAAATTGTGCAGTATCCTGCAACAGAAGCCAAGTAAAATTTGGATGTCTCCAGGCAATTAAAGCCTGTCTTCTATGCATATGTCTATCTGGAGCAGGAAGGGCCTGTTTTGGTAATCAGAAACCCAGTCTTGCCTCAAATCTCAGAGCACAATACTGAATACGTGATTTCTGGTAACCTCTCTTCTCATGCCCACTGGAAGATGTAGTTGTAGCGATGGCCTTGGAAGTCTAAGAACAGACTGTGGAGCATTTGGGTTTATCTCAGGGTGGCTCCAATGTGGTTCTGAATTGTTAGGCCTGACTTAAAACAGAACAAAATCCATAATGAAGCAGAGCACTAACAGTTCACCTAATTAAATAAAGGATCATACAATTTTAGAAGGGACCTTAAAGGGCCACCCGGTCCAACCACTTCATTTTACAGACAAGGAAATTAGGAACCACAGAAATTAATAACAGTAGCCTGAATTTACATAATGCTTTAAAATTTACAAAGTGTTTCACATACATTATCTCATATGATTCTCACAATCATATGTGAGGCAGGTGCTATTTTATGAGGAAACAAAACTCAAGGAGTTTAGGGTCACATAGCTAGTAAAAATCTGAAGTAAGATTTGAATCTGGGTCTTCTCAACTCCAGTTCCAAGCACTATGCTCTGTGGCCATGCAGTGATTGGCTACAAGATACAAAGTTCTAACAGTCAGGATTTATGTATTCTGTTTCCAAGTTTTTTGTTTTTTGGGTTTTTTTTTTAAAAAACTACATCATGCTGGCCACGCTCAACACTATAGTCTAAAGTACACATTAAATGGGTTTGTAGGACTCCATGGTACATGACGTTCATCATTTACATTATCAGAGAATATGATCACTGGGTTGGAAGAAACCTTAAAGGACGCCTTGTCCAATCCTTATCTGAATAAAAATTCCTTCTACAACATACCTACATCAAGCCTATGCTCAGAGACAACCAGTGAGGGGAGATATCCACTGTTCTGAAGATAATCCATTCTATTTTTGAACACACAAACTGTTACAATATTTCCTTGTTTCCTAGAATTCCACTTCCACCTCCATCTTTGGAGTATGGGATGTGGTATACCAAAAGATGATAGCACCAACTTTCAGCAGCTGAAGATCATTATTTATAAGGTAATTTATAAGGTAATACATGGCAAAATACTAAATTAGAGGGGCTACAGTATAAACAGGAATGAAAAGGTTTGCTTCCTGGATATTAGTATTATTATCATTCATGGGACTCCCCAAGAGAAATGCAGAGGCAAGGACATGCACTTGAGATGAAATCTCACCTGACTTCTTTTTAACTGGGAGGGACCCGTCAATGAAAGGGTTCTAAGAGGACAGGTTATTGCAAGGTACTCATCTTAGCATTATCCAGATGTTGAGATTAATATATAATTCAGGTATCATCTGCCAAAATGCACTAATGATCTATTTGCACCTGGATAAAGATGCAGGCTTCAATTTCCTTCTCATGTGGAAAGTTATTTCAAAACCCGATTAGACTTCCAAGCACAGTGCAGAGTCTGGCAGTCCAAACAAGTAACATGAGAGTGCTACTATGTATCTGGGCCCAGAGATCTTGAAATGATTTGTCACAATTAATCATCAAATATAGATGGAATTTTTTCAGCATCAAATCTCACACACAGACACCAAACTGCTTAAATACAGATTTATTGCAAACCAACACAGAAATGTGGAGTGTGTGAAGGAGAGTGGCCTCAGGATGTAGCACGCCCTACTCTCTTTGGCTCCCATGGAGAAGGGAAGTGAGTTGCCCTGTTTTGCTCAGAATCTCTTTTGGTTGAACTTAATGGCCAAGTTGCTGCTGCCAGTTCTAAAACAAAGAAAACTGGTAGAATGCACTGACTCTAGAGGGCTGGACTGGTACATGGACACAAAAGGGTTGGGCAGACGTTTAAGAAGAGAAAGCACATCATTACAGAGCAGAGGATGAAGGTTTAAAAATACAGATAGATGTGATTAATGCATATCCTGGAAAGGTGGGTCTGAGTCCAAGTCTTCCAAGTCTAGTCACTTAACATGCACCAGAGAACCCTGCTACTAAAAGGAATCTTAAAGTGAGTCCTTCTGTAATGTAATTAAACACCCCTTAAAGTTCCTATTTTTGTGAAGTGGTTTCATTTATTTTAATAGGGGCATGCTAGTAGAGCTTCTATCATTTGATACTTCCTAACAAAAGACAGAAGACCTGAGCCACATTAGGGCACTATCAAATGATGCCCTAGGTAGAAGAACATTTACAATAGAAGTGAATCATTTTTAAAAATCTTCCAGTAGTTTATGGACAGATTATCTATTGTCCCTGCTTTAGCCAAACCACATATATCCTTCTGCAAAGCTCCTATACCATGGGTACTCAAGGAGATGGCAAAACTGTAAATTAGAAACATGCTAAAAACAGCAAGAGAGAAGGACAAACAAGGTTCAAGAGGTGCATACAAACATCATTAAAAATTAAAAATAAAGGAATCTTTAAACATAGAGCATTCCATCTGTGAAATGCTACTTTGGAATGAGGGTATACTAGCCTCACTCCCTTTCATGTGAACTCAGAGAGAAACGAGCAGAGACCCTCGCATTTTAGCAAGTTTCAAAGCACAAGGCCCTCATAATAGGCATGAGTTTTCATTTTTTTTTGCTCTGTATTTCTAGAGGACAGTTCTATTCTGATTCATAAAAACTATAGCTTTAGTGACTAACCCCCCAAAAACATGGTGGTGTCTGCCATCACTTCCCCAAGACGAGATATCTCTTAGACTTTTTAGGAGTCTTTAATTGTTTGGAATGAGCTGATGCTGCCCCCAACACCACCTGGACACCTTAACACTTCTGATTCTGAAGAGATCCACCATTTAACTCAAGAGGATGACCCTGGTCTTTTCTGCAGAAAAAAGTGACATGTCCTATGGAAAGTTCCCTGGGGATGAGAGTTGAACAGCTTTCTTATAAGGACTCCAGGGAAACAGTGTGGCTGGAAATAAGTTGTAAGTCAGCGGCTGACTCCAAAACGACAGCCTCAGTAAGATCACTGCTTGGCTGCTGGACCCACCCACTCCTGTAAGGAGTGGGTAAGCACAAGGAATTGCTTGTCCCATAAAAATCAGTCTATTATTCTCTCAGAAAAGGGTCACAATAACAACATGTAGGTATTAATTCTGGGTGACCATAAATTGGGGTGGGGTTCTGAAGCAAATAGAAATTTCTCTAGGAACTCAGAAAAAAAATTGATATAATTTATGTTCCTGGATTATCTGTTAATTAGGTATGCAATGCTAGGTGAATCTGAAGGCTTTGCTTTCTGAGTGGTGGTCAAATGGGATGGGGATAAAGATTTAATCAAAGTGGGCTATGTTTATATCTTTCAAGCTAACAGTCATGTGCTGTTTCTAAGGAACACTGAAAAACAAGTGTCCCTGAACAAGCAAAGAACTAAAGAGTACTCGTTTGTAGACTTCAGAAGAAACAGTCAGCAGGCCCGCTCACCTGTAAGCAGTTTTTAAAGTGGAGGTCCCATCCTCATCAATAGCACAGATTAGCAAGACAGTTGTTTTTTAGGTATTAATAAGGTTCTTTCTCTTATGTAACCAAGCATCCAGCTCATACAGAGCAGGATTTTGAGTGTACCAAGTTCCTGACATTTCTGCCTCTGTCTGCTCAGCACATGGGAGTCAGCATCCTTATTCCTACCCTTTTTGCAATTATTCTTCAGGGACAGCAATGGTTCCACTGGGGCCCTTGAGGGCATCAATGATATCCTATGCAGGCTACCCATTAATCATCTAAGGATTTCCACTGCTCTGTGCCTTTCAACAGAGGGCAAACCTATCATTCATTGTATGCTGAAATATCTCCCCTGTTCTCAGAGACTGTCCTGCCTCCCACTGAGCTCTACATTCATCCAGGAGATGTATGTAAACAAAATATAAGTTGTGGATCATGGGGGCTGAAAAGAGACTTGAGGATAAACATAGAAGAAGAGTGGCAGCTAGAAGTCCATTACTCAGACAACAGTGGGATAGAACGCATGGCCAACACTGGGACAAACAGGCAGTGGCCTAAGCTTCCTTGGCCTCAGAGAAAGCCATGATTAGACAGCTCTATCCTGCACTCTTTCCTGAGACAGAAATGTCTACCTGCAGCTGATCTTTGCTGGGAGAACTTGCACCTCCTTCCAACACCTGGGCCTTGTTCAACAAGAGAGCAACAAATAAAGACACCAGAATCCCAACTAGGCAGGTTTCTGCCACTGTGGGGGCAGCTTCAATCTCCTACTGTTAGTGCCTGGGAGGCACCCAAAAGCAGGAAAAAATAGGACTTGACAAATTGATGAGCAAGACTGAATGTGGAATTTTTAAACAAAAGGCCAAACTAAGGGGCTTCCTGAAACAGTACAGCCTGAAGCAGCCATCACAGAGCTGCTTCTCATCAGCACATGTAAGTCACACAACTCCAAATCACTCCAACAACTGCCAGGAAAAAACCCAGCAACAGCAACTCCCTTCCCCCCCGACCCTCCCTCCCCACCCCCTAAAGAGAACTGAGCAGAATCGCATCAAAACAACAGCAAGCAGAGAACACAGAAGGAAAGAAAATGCGGCTTGCAGCGGCTGGTTACCGTGGTGACAGGAGTATGTAATCCTGCATTTGCCAGGACATCTCCCTCATGCATAACAAATATCCTAACTTGGCATCAGCCGTAGCAGTTGCTATGCATTAACCTTCCCTCTACTCCCTCCCCTTCTTCCCTGAAACAGACAGGAAGGGAGGAGGCAGGAGGCTGGGGTACCCAAACACCCCTTGCAAATAAAGATGGATACAGGGGTGGACAAGATGAGTACCAGGCATGCATGGGAGCCTTGGAGGAAAAGCAGGAGGGAAAGAGCCCACACAAAAAGGCCTTTCTCTGCCTTATCCTCTACATCCAAGAGCTTGACTTGAGTGGGTTTTCTTTCCTTCTTGTCATTAAAACTGCACAGCCCCTGGGGAGATGTTGAACATGGATGGGTCGAATCTCTGGCCTCGGAAGGGGGAGCCTTCAGCATCCCATCCTTTCTTCAGCATCTCATGGACTTTCTACAAGCAAAAAATATAAAAATTAACATCACTGCAAGTCACTGAAAAGTTTTTTCATTTGTTTGTTTTTTCCCAAAGCAGGTTTCCAATCAAGAGGCATGACTCCCTCTTGCTTCTTTTGATTAATTTTTGTCAGTGGCCAGAAAGGAGGGTGGTTGGCTCATGGAACTAGCCTGGTGAAAGTGGCTTGCTGTTACTTATAAGGGGCTTATAGGACCACATACAGCAGGGCAAGCAGACATGTTTTCAACAGCTGATACCTTCTATCTTGCCACCACAGAGCAGAAGTATTAGATACTCTTTGGAATGATTTATTTTTTCACTACCATCAGGCATCTCTGTCCAAAATCCAAAAGGAGGTACAGAGCAGAGGCAATTTCAGACTAATGTCTCTGTCTTTCACCTACATCAATTTAGGAACAACTCTAAGCAAGAGGGCAGCATGGCAAAGTGGGTTAAGATCTGGCCTCAAAGCCAAGAAGGCCTGGGTTCAAGTCCTAACCTGTCAGTGCTCTGCACAATTCTCTAAGACTACAAGTTAGAGAGAAGATGAAGAGAGTTCCCCATGACAATGAAATCACAGATTACCTGATTCCTATCCCCTACCTGGGAAAAAGTATGGCTCCCACTTTTCCACAAATGGGATACAATGATTAAGCAAACAGCAAAGGAGAACTAGCCTTAATGAACCAAATTGCTCTAGTCAAACCAAACAGATTTTTTTCAGTATGTGCTGCTTAGTAACAGATGCCAGAAAGTTCCCCCATGTTTTAAGAACACTTTACTATAGTAATAGAGAACTGATTCCTGCTTTACCTGCCTCTGACCCAGCTAAATCACCTCGCTGAACTGTCCATGAGAGCTGTACTTCACAGCAAGCTAGTTCCTCCCAGTGTATGGCCCTTTGGGAACTGGCATCAATGGAATCAGAGACATCCTTAAACGAGGAGGAGCACATTTGTGTAGATAAAGCCCCAGGACCATGCACAATTCAGCTGCTCCACTCAAGATGGAGTTTGCCTCAACTGATCTGACCTGGCCTTTTCTTCTTCTTCTTCTTCTTTTTTAGGCAATTGGGGTTAAGTGACTTGCCCAGGGTCACACAGCTAGTAAGTGTCAATTGTTTGGTCTGAGGCTGGATTTGAACTCAGGTCTTCCTGACTTCACGGCTGGTGCTCTATCCACTGCTCCACCTAGCTGCCCCTGGCCTTTTCATCTTAAATCATTTCTTCAAAGATTCTTTTGGATGTCCTATGACAGTGACTGGCTACTCTGTAGGAGAAACTATGCCAAATGAAGGATGTGGCCTTTAGTACCAGGGAACAATTTCTCAATTTCTTAGAATGAACTGAAAAAGGGTAACATCCAGGGACTGGCTAGAGACAAGAGGGTCACCTTCCTCTTGTATGAGGCCAGAGAAATTGTAGGTCTTGTTTTCAGAAGGATTAAACATAAATAACTTGATAAACTACTGACCTCCCAACTGACTGACAATATAGTAGGAATAAAACTCATGTCTCTAAACACTCAGAACTACAGCAACTTTCTAAGATATCTGATACTTATAGCTTTTTCCTTGGGCTGGAAAATTCCCTCAAAAGGATTACAGCTTTTAAAAATCAAACAAGCAAACTATGGATACTTAGCTGTGGAGTAATATCTCTAAGGAATTAATGACGGTTACTCTCAACTTCTTGTATCTAACTAACCTATGTGACTCTCTGTAAAGCTTTTTTTTTCTAAGGTAACTATAATCTGGTATCAGATGACATCAGCACTGATGCTGCAGGATGTCTAGAAAATAGACTGAAGTCAAACAGACACTATTAAGAAGAAACATAAATTTAGCATTTGTTTTTTCTTTTATTAAAAATCTTCCCCACCTGTGAGGAAATGTTTCTCTAATCAGATGCCAAGATATTAGGATTTCCAATACTGAATTTTTATAAATAAATAGTACCTACAGAGGTAATAAAGCTATAAAGAGAGATAAGAAGCAACTCCTTACCATATAATTCTGTCTCGGTCCTAACTTGCAATTCCTGCTATTAAAAAAATGAGCTTTTTCATGGCAGTCTTTTTTTTTTTTTTTTGTGGTAGCAGAGTGCTGTGATACATAAATGTAATGGAATATTACTGGATTGAGTTGGATTGAGAAAAACACTGAAGACTTGCATGAACTGATAGAGAGCAAAAAAAAGCAGAACCAGGAGCACGGATACACAAAGACATTCAGGTAACCAATAACACAAAAAGGCAGCTACTCTCGGCTTAAATACAGTGACCAATCTTGGTCCCAGAGAACAGAGAATGAAACACTTTCTTCCTCTCTGAGAAGTGGGGATTCATGGTTTCAGAACTTCATATGCTATAAAGTCAGTAACCGTGCTGGCTGGTTTTTCTTAATTGTTTTTCTTCATCATGAAGGAGGGTTCTAAGAGGATGCCGAAACAGCGTTATCAGAAAATAACTGGTATAAAAAACAAATGGCATCAGTAAAATTGTAAAAATAAAAATAAAAATAAAAATAAAAAAAATCAAGTGTCTACCAAGTAAGATTTTAGAAATTAAATCAATTACACAGTAACAGATGCTAGAGAGGTTTCCCCGTGTGTTGTGGAGAATGGTCCTTGCTTGTCTGCTTCTGATCTGCCTCAGGCACCTTCCTGTCTTTCTGGCAGAGTCACACTTCAGGAAGCCTCACTCTTCCTAGTGCACTTCGATGGAAGAAGTGCCCATTGAAGTCTAATTCCTACCTCTGTGTACTCATGTATGATTTCTCTCTGCCTTTTAAATGCTATGAATACCCATACATTTATTCTAACACTGAGATTTCCCAACACATGACTTTCACTGAATGGATCCTCTTCTGCCTGGGGATTATGCTGCCTCAATACTACCCACCCCATTCTAGCCTAGTATTCTTTTCTACTATTCTCCTATCTTCATCAGATCTTTTTTATCACTAGCGATTTTACCCTAATGGCCTTGCCAGTCAATTTCTGTTCCAAGAGCATCAAATGCTACTTTTTGCAGTATAACAACACAATGACACCTTCTAGGTGCTACTCCTGGAGCCCGGACTCATGATCATACTTTGGGGTAACCATGGACAAGTGGGATACCCCTGAGTTAAAAGATCCAATACTAAAAGACAGAGGCTGTCTATAGTACATACCAACTTACACACTAAGAAATTTCTGGGGATTCTTGGCTTACTTGCAGAATTAGAAAAGGTAAGGGACCTGTAATTATACTATAAGAGTCTGCTCTAGGCCTAGTGCGAAGTCAGAAATTCAAGAACAGTTAGGCTAATTTTGCTTCACTAGGGGTAAGCCAAAAGGGAATTGAGTGCAGATTAGTCAGCTAATTAGTAAGTGTGCCCACCCAAACTATCTACATGGCAGGGAGAGGAGGGCAAAATGGAGGAGGGAGAGAGAGGGGAAAGGGGGAGAGAAGGAGAGAGGGAGAGAGAGAGAGATTGATTTACCTTATCTGTTTTTAGAAATAGAGATCATGTGAATGCCTACTTTCTGGTTCATGGTAGAATGTACACAGCAGAAATTTAATATATGTTTACTAATAGCAATTATAAATACCAGAGATAAAGTATGAGGCAAAGAAATACTAGAATTTGAATGCAATCTAGATAGAATACTATTGCCTTAGAGATAGGTAACTTTCCTTAGACCAAAACTAGTAAATGACCAATCCAAAAAAAGAAGATGCAAGGTGATCATACAGAATTTCAAATTATGACAAGAATGTTGTCATAAAATTACCATTTTAACAATTACAACTCACATTTATATAACACTTTAAAATCGATAAAGTTTTGTTTTTTAACAATAAATTCAGCTCCAATACCAGTACTAGCATTCTTATCCTCATTTTACAGATAAAGAAAACTTTAAGGCCAAAAAACCCTCACAATTTACCTGGAATGCCAGAAGCATAATTTGCAAATCTGGTAAAATTAAGAGAGCAGTCAGATATCCAAAACTTCTTTAGGATACAAATCAGTGTGCTAGGTTCAGGATAGCCTATATGTGTTCTTGACTGGGGAATATTCCAGAAGTCCATGGCTACCTAAAATATGATTGCCAAAAGTCTGTACTATAGGAAATGCCTTAGAAGTTGTCATAAATGGAAAATATTAGTATTACTGACAATAACTGGCATTCATTTAAAAGTTTCAAAGTGCTTTATATACATGATCTCATTTGAATTTAACAACCCAGTGCTGTAGAAACTGAAGGCTCAGAAAGTGAGGCTCAGAGAAATTAAATAATTTTTCTATGGTCACACAGCTAAGTGTAAAAAATAGAATTTCAACCTAGGTCTTCTTGATTCCCAGATCCAGCATATTATCTATTTATCCTAACACATGGTTTAACTATGACTTTGCCAATTCTACAAAGCAAGTGATCTCCAACAAAGAGTAATGCCCAAACTCTTTTCTTCACAAATAAAAGATACAGTAATTTCTTGATCATTACAACGAAAGTGCTTTGTAAACCTTTAGAGTACTCTATAAATGTGAGCTATTGTTATAATAATTCTAGAGGAAGTTTGTAGGTTAAAAATAATAACTATAACTTATGATTCTTTGATAGCAGTCTTCTTATATATGCTCACATAGCTCCTTATATGTGAAAATGTAATTAGATATAACAAAATGATGATACAAACTCACACTATAGAGGACATGTCTGTTTCATCAGAAAATGGTTCAAATACAGCAAATGGCATTATTATTTCCAATCACTGTTAGGAGCCTGGATGTAAATAAGGACCTGGGAAAAATATGTCAGACTCTTAAAAACACAAAAAAGTGAGATAAACTATTTTCCAGGCCTAGTTTTTATGTCTGTGCTGTTTCAGGAAAGTGTCCTCTCCAGATCCTTGTGGTCTTCATTTTACTATCCATCACTCAATCATCTTCATTTTATTCACCTTTCAGTTATACAAGAAGGGAGAGAACTTCCTGTCTTCTTAAGTTAAACCTTACAGTCTGAACTTCCTGATGAGACCAGAGGGAAACAAGCAAGAACCTGACTGGTTCTCTTTACCAATAAGGAAAAGAGTTGATACTACATCCAAGTAACCTCAATATAGCTGAGAAATCCCCATACACAATGTGGAAACTAAACCGTACTGGGTAAAGAGACAATGCATAGAAAGTATTCCATTTGTACCATATGATATCATCAGATAATCTAACACAGAATGAACTCGAGAGAGGCAAATGGCATTATCTTCTCCCACTTTAGAAGACTAATTCTGCTCTAATTTTGCAGTAAGTTTGTGCCTGGTTTGTGCTTAGACTGTAGAATCTCAAGGAAACTGAGCCAAATCTGGTGCTCTCTGGAAATTTGGGTTCACTCTTGGTAAGGCCTGGACCCTTAGGTTCACTCTGGAACAGATGAACACATTATTAACATTATTAACTAGGTCAAACTGGATTCTTCTGAAATCAAATCAAAATAACATTGGCCTTTGGAGGTGGAAAAGGTGATAGTTGCTCACAGAATCATTTGACCCTTGTGTGTTAATCCCATGAAGCATCTTCAAAGACTTTTGTGGAAAGAACAGGTAAGCAGTTTCTCCTGAGCAGGATACAGTCCCATTTTATGTTGGACCATTTTAGCCCCCAAACGAGCAGTCCTTTGTTTATGGATAATTTCAAAACAATAGAAGGTAAGCTCTTCAAGGACCAAATTAGGGCAATAACTTGTACTTCTGCCTTTGTAACTCCAGTACCTAGCCTATTCCTGGCACTTAGTAGGCAACTAATAAATGCAATGAACAAACAAGCCATGAAAGTAGAGAAGAAATCAAACTCTCCCAGAATCAGCTTAGGTTCCTGGAAAGCAAGGCCTTATGAAGAAGGGCTGAGCCTTTGATTCAAAATAAGGTCAGAGTTATTCCAGATACTTCTAGGAAGCCTGGACAACTGAAATGAGACAGAGAGCGAGAGGTAAAGGCAGAGAAGAAATGTACTAGAGAGAGTGGGGATGGGAGAGATCAGATTGAGTGGACGTAGTCAGTAATCAAGTACCCCTCTTTAGATGGAAACATCTGATTTGTTTTAAGTACTCCAATGAAGTTTATAAACTGGCTTATGAAATTTTCCTTGCACTGTGCAACTCTAGTCCATAAAGCACCTGATTGTTGCTCTTACAAACTGCATCAATGACAAACTATAATTAAAATAAGGAAAAATTAATTTGGAATGTTTCTTTATGACAAAGATTCAATTTTATTTTTAATAACCCAGTTTCTTATGGATTCACATCTGGATAAGCTGGCAGACTTGCTAGATTGCCCATTTGGTATCCATCAAGCAGGCATGTGAAGCCCTACTTTTGGCAGCTGGCATTTAGGTACTCCATTTTAACCTTAATACAAATCTTAATCAAATAACAAATGCTTTCTAATCCCATTGAATGTAAACTAACCAGACTGAAAAAAAGAATTCTCGAATTAGGTCCACAGAAAAGTTTACAAACAAATCTCTTCTATATTTTGGATAGCCAATGGATAAAGGCAACCAACCTAAGAAAAGCAGCTAAGTAGGACTAAGTCTAACTGTCCAAATATGTGCAAAAGTCCTTTTAGAAATAAAAGGTCCTTACAATCTAAAGGCCATCTAAATTAAGTTCTATGATCTGGGCTACTCTCAGGTCCTAGGTATAGTAGCCTATGTTGGACACATACAGAACTGTATGCATTTTTTTTTAAGAGATATAAGGCATGCTTAAAAATCTCATCAGTGGGCTACATTTCACTGAGTATTCAGTTCTGCAAGTCTTGAATTTGATTCTTAATACGAAGAAAAAGACAGTTACCTATAGAGACTTATGTAATATATGAATTTGGGGGAAAAAGGAGAAAAAGAGTATATTTTAATGAAATTAGTTCTGAGTTTGTGTGTGAAGAAGGGCTGGGAAGAGCTTAGACAATCACTGCGAGTATCCCTAAGGGTAGAGATCTTGGCGGTGGATATCATTATGAAACCATATGAGTCTAATTAATCAGGCACAAGGTAAGGTAGCTTTTTAAAAAAAATCTGGAGGTCTGAACATTAGAAATGCTTCCTCAGTCGGTCAATAACTGTTTGTAAAGCTCTATGCACCAGGCACTGTGCTCAGCACTGGCCCTATCTATAATAAAAAAAAAACAAATGGATAAATCAACAATAAAGAACAAATATGTTATGTCAGGCATCCCCCAATTCCACCACATCCACACAAGTCTAAATGTTCTGCTTACTTTACATTTCACTGTCACACTGAAGTTCAAATAAATGGTACTAACTGCTTATGTGGGACAATGCCAAGTTAAAAATAATTTCTGAGAAAAGCAAGTTTTTTCTTCTCTGCTTAACTACCCACTCTTCAGATTACAAAAATGGAAAGGAAGAATTTAAACATTCAATTGGCCAATTTTTCCTACTAGTAGTTTGTTTACACTGGGTTCTATAATGGGCAGATATTAACCAGTTTCATGCTTGTTTTTGGCTGGCATCTTTATATCACTTTCACCACTGCTCCCCTTTTCCCCAAAAAACTCCCACTAAAAAGATGGGTACATTCATATTCTTTGAGTTTAAAAGTAAACTTGAGACTCTATACTCTCCACTCTGAGCTTTCCACTTACTGGACCTGCACCTGAACTGCTGATAGCAGGAGGGATCTATGACACCTTGCCTACGCTCTCAGACTTCACTGGTCACGTGGATCTATCAGTGAAGTGGGAAGCATAGTTCATGTAGTGGCTTCTCTGGCTAGCCCAGGGCTAATAAGTTAACAATGTACTTCATTAAAGCTAACAACTATCTTTGTTACTTAGTTTAAAGTAATTACACCCCAGAGCCTCCTCTTCACTAAGCTACACGGCATATTTCTAAAGTGCTGCTGATCTGCATCAGTGGAGGAAGTTTCACCAATCAAAAAATGGACTAGCCAAAAAGACCAATGTGAAAGCATTGGGTTCCATCAGAGCTTGGACTAGCTCATGGCTCTGGAGTTTGCCCTGTAGCTTTTTGACTGTCAAAGGCCAGTCTATCCACTACAACATAATCTTCTTCATCCACCATAACCAAACATTCCCTGTTTATTTTATCAATGTTAATCTGCAGTGGTTAGATTCTTAGTCCTGATGACATCAGCATAATTTTGTTTTCCTTTTGACTCCAGGGCACCAGAGAAAATGTGAATTGTAACACATCAAAACAAGGACATAATATAGTGGTAAAAGGAGGAAGGGAGGAAGGGAGGGAAGGAGAGAGAGAGAGGGAGGGAGGGAAGGAGAGGGGGAGAGAAGGAGAGGGAGAGAGACAGACAGACAGAGGGAGAAAAAGTGTGTGTGTGTGTGTGGGTGCGCACACACACATGCGCATGCGCGCGCACTGCTCACCACTAGCTACAGTGATGACTGCCTGGAAGCTGCTTTCTGAGGTAGTACCTGATACCTAAAAGTAGAAAAGAACATGAGAAAGCAATTCTTCCCAATACTGCACAAAGCAATTCCCTAAATTCTATATGTCCTCCCTATTTCTTCTCTTCCTAGTTCGTCTACTGTATCTATTCATTTGCATGAAATAAAACCTACAGCATTTGCTGGGAAGGTAAGCTGCTGCTTGGAAAGTGTTTCCTTATATTTCTTCAAAAGATACTATAGGAACATCAATCTGAGCTCATACCAGCTCATGGCTCTGGGGTTTGCCCTGCAGTTTTTGGTGGTAGTCAAAGGTCAGTCTATCCAGTACGGCATGTTCCTCTTCATCCACTGTCGCCATTGAACGTTCCTTGTTTATTTTGTCAATGTCAATTTGCTCCTCTCCTTCCAGGATAGCACTCCACCAGTACTCTCCAACCTTATTCAGATTAATCTGGAGACAGAAAAGAATAGAAATCATTTTAAGTACATGAAAATGATAACAACTACTAATCAACAGAGCCAACAATTTAAAGCATCAATTCTAGAATTATCAATCCATTTGTGTAAAATGGTGGGATACAGGCCTTCTCAGGAGTGTGAGTTCCAGAGAGAAATAACTACTGCCAGTTATTGTACACGTATAATCCAACAAAGGATACACAGATGCTAGATGAAGCTTTGGTAAAATGGAAAGCAAAGTCTATCAGAGTCTTTCCAAAATGTCAATAAAAAAATCAAATGAATCTACAAAGCCATTCATTCGTTTTCCATTTCTACAAATTACCTAAAGAACACCAGGTGGACAAGTATAGTCCCAATCTCCCACATCCCAGATATTCATTCATTCTGTACCTACTACACCATAAGAATACAAGGGCTTTGCCACAGTCAGAGCCAAAGGGGAGACTTTACCTTAGCATCATAGAAAGCTGCAGAACTAATCATGTCTGAGTAAAGAGTGAGCTAAGAATAAAAGTAGTATACCAAAGAGGCTCTCAAAGAGGTACATACAGGATACACACAGAGTAAATGGAAGGAAAGAAACAAGCATTTATTAAGAGCTTACTCTGTGCCAGGCACTATGCTAAGCACTTTACCAATATTATCTCATTTGATCCTCACCATCAACCTTGGGAGGTAGGTGCTATTATTATCATCCCCATTTTACAGTTGAGGAAACTGAAGCAGACCTAGGGGTTAAGTGACTTGCCCAAGGCCACACAGCTGGTAAGTATCTGAGGATGGATTTTAACTCAGGTCTTCCAGTCTCCAGGTTCAATACTCTAGTCACTTCACAAGCTAGCTTCTCAAGTCTTTGAGAAGTCTGAAACCGAGATGAAATACACTGTGGTTAGTCCTCAGCTAACCACCTAGTATAGCATAGACAAATGAAATTCACCAATAATTCAAGTATCTCATTTCACCCAACAACTTTACCCACTTTTGTATTTATTTTTAAAACCAGAGGCATTACGGAGTAAAATGTTCTGACTTGTTTTTCATTTTCTTTTACTTCTACTGATGGTTTTAAGAAAGAGTTAAAGCAAAGGAAAACAATAAGGTACACGGTAACATGATAATCAGTCCCTGGGGCAACCAAGGATTCAAAATTTAACATTTATTACCTAATATGTACTGGGCTAAGTGCTGGGAAAAATACAAATATTTAATTGAAAAAAAAAAAGGCATAGTCCCCCCACTCAGGAAGCTTACAACCTAGTAGATGATGTTTGATCATACAGAGAAATTTCAGTGAGAAAATAAGTGAGATTTAAGAGCACTGGACTAGGAGTGAGGTTGCCTGAACTCTAGCTTTAAATTTAGCACTGACTAGCTGAGCAAACTTTGAATCATTTCATCTTCATGGCCCTCAATTTCCTCATGTTTTGCAGAGGGTGTTGGACTAGGAGATCTGTAAAGGTTTGTCCCAGCTTTAAAATCTACTATTTCCTGAGTTAAATTTTAGGTGTGCCAGATGGCTTAATAGACTAAAGTTAAGACTACAGACTGGTACCAATGTGTGTGCCTCAGTTTCCTCCTCTGAAGAGGAAAATGTGGTCATTAACATATGTTGAATACTTGGCACTCCCCAGATGACCGGTAGGAGGGTGTGTGTGTGTGTGTGTGTGTGTGTGTGTGTGAGAGAGAGAGAGAGAGAGAGAGAGAGATAGAGAGAGAGTGAGTTGTTAGCTCTGGTAGTATATATCCTGGGTCTTAAATGGCTTTAAAATATCACCTATTGGTCTGAGCGAGTCACCTTCCACAATCCTAAAGTCTGGCCAAATAAATCAACAGGACAGCTCAAAAAGAACAGATGCTCCGTTCTCCTGTTCTCTCCCACAGTTAGAATCCCTGTGGGATTCAAATGTGGGTCAGAACTCAAAGAAACTTTGTCTTAAAAGCGTAGTACAAAAGATTATAATTTCTAATGAACTAATGGATGGGGGTATTGATAGAAATGGGCCTGTGAGAGATCTTATAAAGGAAAATATCTCTTTCCCTCCCCCAAATAGGGTCCAACTACAAGACAAAGAATTGTGATCATTCTCTGGGCATAACTACTTTGGCAACTAAGCAGGCTGCAAACACAGAAAAACAGCCCTTCTCTGCCTACTGGCTTGGGGAGGAAGAGGAAGAGAGTAATAAAGTTAACAGATTCCTAAATGCTATCCATCCCCTACCCAGAATGCCAGCTCTTTTTGGCTTAGACTAGATAACAGACAATTCCCAAAGAGATTACTTACAGTTTACCAAAATCCAGGTTTATACTGATTTTCCCATTTCCAGATTCTATGGTTGGCTTACTCTTCCCCAAGTGGACTCTGTAATTTCTTCATATGTATAGAGCAGTCATCAATGATTTCCAAAGTAGAAAGTCCTGACCCTATTTACTTAGTTGGACAAAATTTAGACCTTCAATCCAATGCAGTAAAAACCCTTTTAAGTGGGAAACATACTTCGGGTTTTCCTCACTGTAAGGTAAAATTCTATGTGTATATATATAAATATATACTATAGACATACACATATATATACACATACATACAAAATGGGCTCATATGATGGAAAACATGTTTAAACACAAGTTCTACTTTGCTTTTCACCTATTACCTAGACATTACCATATTTCCCTACCTAGAAAATGATTCACATGAAATGGGCCATTCAAAATCTCAAACCAAAAAAATCTTGGAAGCTTTTACTATTGTTTTGCTGTTGTTAAAAAAAGAGAGAAAAGATCATTTGAGTATGACCATTACCATTTCAGCAAAGCAAATAAGGTTTTATTGTGCAACCATGTAGAACACAAAAGATCTAAAGTTTTGCTATTCATTAACTGACCACTTTGTTTCATTAGCTGAAACAATTTGCACCCTCATCAGAGTCAGAAGTGAGTAACCATTTCCCTTTGTCCCTACTTCTTCTCTCCCCAGAGTGACACTGGTACCACTTTCCTGGAAAATAAACATACATTTTTTAATTGAACCAAAACCTGCCCAAATTCCAATAGAAGTGAGGTAAATGCATCCTGCCTCATTTAAATCATCAGTCCTACTTTAATTATGCTTTTGACTTCCCATACTCTGCCATTTAAATGTATTGTTCTCTAGGTTTTCATGTGCACCATACATTGTATTTCAGTAACATACACACAGCAGCAAATGAAGTAACTCTAGGGTGTCATTTGTTAAAAGCCCTAGGATCCTCTAGGCTGAAAGTGCTGTGATAAAGCAAGCTAATCATTAGAGTAGTAATATTTTTCCTTGATGCCCACAGGGTGCATGACATTGTAAGCAGCTCTGGAGGTGTTCATAAAGACAGAACATTTATATTCCAGTACTCATACAGAACAGTAAGATTTAAACCACAGATAAATGCAATGTATTCTTAAATTTTTTACATAGCAGTACTCAAAATTTTTACTGATTATTTTGCTTATTACTATAAGTTTGAGGAAAGAAGAATAAAGGAAGATGAGTAGGTAGAATGTTTTATCAGATAACATGAAGTTAGTTCTCATCTTGTCAACATACACCAAGTTCCCTCCAAAGCTACTTCAATTCCTGGCCATCCCATGAGGCTTTGTGAGAGGGCAGGAGGCTCTCACGCAAGCCCAAGATATAAGACTCCCAACCCTGTTCTAAATATTCAAAGCACTATGGATTGTATATCATGGTGTTTAAGTCTATATTTAAAGGGTAAAAAAAAAAACTTTCACAATACAGGGGTAGGTTTTTATTCTAGGTATAGTGATGGCTAAGCTCTCCCACTCTATCTTGCTCAGGCTACAGCAGATAGGCAGTAAAGTTTAACCTTACTCTGTTATCATGTAGCAGCAAGGGTCAAGAACTAGAACTGGTATAACAACCTAAAACCCTAATTTTATATAGAAATTTCAGGTCAATCTATAGAGTTGATTTGACAAAGATAAATAAGATGCTTTTTTTTCTTCTAAGGCTTTCAAGGATTTAAAGAAGACAAAAGACCCTTAGCTAAGTTGCTCTGTTCTAGAGTGTTTGGTCCCAGTTCAATCCAGGAAACAACTAGGATGAACAGAAATAGAACATATCAAGGTGAAAAGACACTCTTTCCCTTCTCCCCCTGAATCTAGTTCCCAATAGGCCCAAAGTGGTTTTATACCACACTATTTTTAATGGTAGGCTTCCAGGCCTGGAAAGAGGAGAAAGAGTATCTAAAGACCACTCAAAATCAACTTCAAGATCCAGCTCCATGACAGCTCTAGAACAAGTCATCTCCTAGCTCACAGGCCAGAGACCATTATAGTGTTAGAAGATAACTTTTTGATGAATATCATAATATTTTACATATTTTTTTCCATTGATGCTAGAATGATTTTCCAGAAGTTGCTAACCTGGAATGTATAATCTTTTCCCAAAGACAAAATTATTATTTATTTGGAGACTATCCTTGTAATATATTACACATGTGTGGTCAAAGAACTAGAGAGAAGTTCCATAAGAGGTTCTTCCATGGTTAATTTACTAGATTAGCTAAATGTCATCCTAGAAGTATGAAACTGGTGTGAGGAAATTATAAAAAGCAGAAAAGGAGAGAAACACTGGGGTGAGAGGAAGAGGAAGCGCCAAAAGGGCATTTTCTAAAGGAATTAGAAGGGGTTCTATAATGAGACTTAGTGTTTGTTAGGGGGGGAGAGGGAGAAGACACAAACGCTTTAGTCTAGAGCTCTATTCCCCTCAATTCACTGAGATAAATCAACACACAAACTCCTTTTTAGCTTAAAAAGCTTCCAATAAGCATTTACAGTTCCATCAAGCTTACCTATCCTAGACTAGAGCAGACAGATAAGGGTGGTTCAACTGCAGTATATATTTTTTAAAGTTCTATTGCCTTTTTTTTTTTTAACAACACAGCCATCTCTCAATGAACATCTCCCACCACAGATGCCTCTCCTTTGTAAGAAAACAAAGAACA